GTATATTAATAATTTTTTAAGTTAATTATTATGATTTGGTTAATTATTAAAAGGATTTCTTTTGGTTTTATTTCATTATTTTTTTACATGTGCTTTAGTGTATATACTTAAAAAAAACGATATTGCCAAATGCATAACAAAGTGTGCATGCAATGACTGAAATAGGTACAGCAGGATGTACAGCAACAGGGTGTACATACATTGACTTAAGGTTTTGGTTTGGGCAGGTACTCTTGTAAATAAAAGAAAATCTTTTTTTAATTTAAAGTTTCTAGTTTTATTAATTTGTTGCTTTTTAGTGATTCAAAGCAACATGTTTATAAGAAATTTTGAAAATTTTGTTAAGAAATTTATAAGTATTAAATTAGTTTAGTAATTAAAGGAGTAGTTTTAATAAAAACTTATAGAAAAGAAAATAATGGTAAAAATTTATAGAAAAGATAATAATGATAAAAAACTTCAACGGAGAAAATATAGATTAAAACTATAGATTAGTATATTAATAATAGTAAAAATATAGATTAGTATATTAATACTAACATTGAAAATAATATACATAAGAGAATCTGGTCATTAAGATATGAGTTAAAAGTAAAGGTATAAAACAAACATTTTTCAAATTATTGAATTAAATTTAACCATAAATTATGTGATAGTCACATATATATAACGAAGTGTGTGCTAATTTTTTAGATCTTTCTAAATCAATCCAAACATTTCTAGATGCAAATATTGAAGATATTTGCATCTAGAAATATTGAAGATATTTGCATCTAGAAATGTTGAAGATATGCTCTATGACACATCAATCTTAGTAAATGAAATTTATGATCATGTCAAGCACCTTATTCAAGATGTACAGTAGAAAAAAGATCAATGTTTTGAAAATCTGGATGTAGAAACTTATTTTTAAAAACTATTTTACTAAAAAGTAATCCTGGTTTAATTTAGAAAAAAAATCAAAAAGATTACTTTTGATTTCCTCTAAATTAAACCAACAGGCTTAAGCATGCACATTGATGTTTTTTTTAGTAAATAAAATATTATTTACAAACCAATATTACCAAAGTCTTTCTTAAAGTAATTTATCAATGTGATCAAGGAATGACATGTATCCTATGTATATGTGAACACACTCTGAAGAAAATCAATCCTGTAATAACCAAGATTTTCACTCTGACACAAGATTAAACCAACAAATCAAATTTTGTTTGTTCACCAGTCCAAAAAACTTTTTTTCATTTATCCAACGTCCACAAACTATGATCTTTTGTTTATTTACATGCTGTAACAAAGGTTTTCGACACTATACAATCATTAAGTCCAACTCTACATAGTTGTCTCTTGACTGTATGAACTGATATTAAAGTTTTTCTTTTTTTATTCATTTCTTCTTTAATCATAGTGGCTGTAAGTTGTCTATTACATTAGCTTGTAACTACAACATGTTTATCTTCCATCTTTGTTGTGCATCTCAGTCTTCTTGTGCGTTTTTTAGTTGAGTTTGTCCCTGTTGTTTTTAATCCTGTTAACGTGTATATTACACTTGACTTGAATTTTCAGCTATTTTACTATAATGTGATCAAGGAAGGGCAAGTACTCTATGTATATGTAAACACACTCTGAAGAATCCAAGAAAATCAACCCAGTAATAACCAAGATTTTCAAGTCTGATGATGTTTTTACCATAAAAATTATATATATAATTTAAATGTAAAAAAATTCATGAGATTCTCTTATTTTAAATAGTTATGGGCACTAAAAAGGTAATACCTAAGGTGAATACCTTCTAAAAATATATACCCTTAGATATATACCTATTATATCTTTTTTTCAATTCTTTTATAAACATCAAGATTTCTAGACTTTTTCAAGATTTTTCATTTTTTAGGTTAAACTTGTGGTTGGCAATAAGTAAAAAGTATAATATTTTTTATGCATCAAGTATTTAACAATGTAATACTTATATATAATATTAAATATAATATAAAATGAAATATTTAAAAGCATAGTATTAATAAATATGTTATTATCAAAATAAAAAATAAAATATTTAGCAGTATAATGTTTCAATAATTTACTTCTTGTTATATTCATGAAGCATATTAAAAGCTATTGAGAAGTTATAAAACCTTTAATGACATTCTTAATGAATGTTATTTTTAACATTAAATTTAATAGCAAATTACTGTTAGCAAAATAAATGTTACTTATAATAACTATTTTTTTAATAAAAATAAGTTTTAAAAAAGTTTTATCTACTTTGTTTATTATGAATTAAATGCAACTTTAGAGGTAATTGAGTAAACTTTTGAATAAGACACAATGAAAGGAAAGTTTATTTTTGTATACAAATTTGTTAGTTTGTACTACTTTTACTACATTTTGGTAAAAAAGAAAATAAAAATTTCTAAAAAAATGAACACCAAACTTACTTTTTAAGTAAAATAGTATTTTGTTTTGCTGATGGACAATCTTTTCAATGATCTGAGTCTGAAAGTCTTCCTAATATAAGCTGTTGATTTTTATTTATTTATTAATGCAAAGACCCAATATGTATATATATATATATATATATATATATATATATTATATATATATATATATATATATATATATATATATATATATATATATATATATATATATATATATATATATATATATATATATATATATATATATATATATATATATATTATACTATATATTTATACAATAAAATAATTTTTTAATTTTATATATATTAAAAAATAATAAAATAAGAATAGAAAAAATACAGCAAACATGGCGGCTCTAGAAGGTATGCTCTAGTTTTGCAAATGTTCTCATCTATATCCATTTATATCTTTGTAATCTTTATAATAAACCTATTTTTAAATAATGGCAAACAAATTCTTGAAAATTCATGAAAATACTATAATAAAAATCTTCAATGATTGTATGCAAAAATTAGAAAGCAAACTGATTATTATAAAAGATAAAAACAAAAAATTAAAGCTTGAACTTACTGAGATAAATAAAACTATCGAGTTTGTTAGTGAAAAATACAAAACAATTAAAGAAACATTAAATAATACTCAAAAAAATGCACAGGATCAACTAAATCAAAAATATTTAAACAAAGAATATGTAGCACTAAAGAATAAAATTGCTAAATTAGAAGACCGAAGTAGAAGAAATAACTTTCGATTTGTATTGAGGGTATTGAAAAAACCAAAGGTGAAACATGGAAGGAAAGTGAAGAATAGGTTAAGAATCTACTAAGAGAAAAACTGGACATTAAAGAAGGTATACAAATTGAAAGAGCGCATTGTGCGGTAAGAAAAGAACACAAAGAAGGTAGGCGTAGAAAGCAAGCTATTGTTGTCAAGTTTCTCAATTTTAAAGATCGTGAAAACTTTCTTGAAAAATACAAAAAAATGAAATTGTGGAAAACATGTATATTAACAAAGATTTTAGCAAGCGGACAACTAGTATTGACAAACAACTTCTCCGACAAGCAAAAGAACTAAAAGCATCAGGTAAATTCGCTAAAGTTGTATACAAAATAATAATCACTAAGCCATCTTTAAACAATCTATATTCACAGTTGTTTATAACAGAATAAAATATATAATATTATATATAAATAATAATAATAATAATAAAAAAAAATGAATTCGAAAAATAAAAATAATTTTGAAAATGCCTTTAAGTTTTTTCAAATTAATGATTTTAAATTGAATGAAGAATTCAATCCAGACATAAATTACTATAACCAAGTTAATTTGCCTGAATTAGTATGCTCTTATTTTCTAGCAAATAAAGTTAGTAACTTTTTTTTTTTTTTTTTTTCACATTATTCACCTCCCCAAGGCCCGAGGGGGCCACTACAGTCGAGGAGGCATTCATTAGGAGTGGATAATAAAAGTGATTTTTTTAATGTCATTCACATGAATATTAGAAGTTTAAAAATTTTGAATATTTTTTAATTTAATTTACAAAACCAACAATTATTTCAATGTGATTTGTGTAACCAACACTTGGTGTTCAAAAATAGACTTTGAATCAAATTCTAATCTCCTTCTTCCAGGTTTTAAAGAGATTTTTTTAGAACGAAACAATATTAAGTGCAGAGGAGTACTATTTATTTGATAGAAAACATTTTCTATAAAGTTAGAAGTGATATGAGCATTTTTGATAAGGATCAAGAGATCTTAACAATTGAACTAGTAAACAAAAATTCTAAAAACATTTTAATCAGCTGTTGCTATAGGCCTCCAACTGGAAAAACAGAAAATCTAGGTAGTTTTTTGAAATACAATTTTATAGAAAAAACTAGTCTAGAGAGAAAAAAAAATTCTATTTTGAGTGACTTCAACTTGGATTGTTTTTAGTATAGCGAAAACCAAAACATAAAAACATTTTATAACAATTTATTTGTAATGGGAACCATACCAATAGTAGATGGACCGACTAGAATTACAAACCATTTATCAACTTTAATTGATAATTGATATTAACCACAGACTACTTTAATAAATCTCTAAAAAAAAGAAATTATAAAAACTGATGTTTCTGATCATTTTCCATATTTTTTTCTAATAAATTAGATTTCAAATAAAAAACAAGGATAGAATGACAAATAAAAAGAATTCGTAACAATTGTAACTTTAAATCATTCAAAGTTCAAATTTGCAGTAGGACTGGAATCACATTAACTTTAATGATAACATAAATATTATCTATAATACATTTTTCTAAACTTTCTTTAAAATTTATGATGCTAATTTGTAAAATAAATCTCAAGGCCAAAGACTCCTTGAATAACTAAGGGACTAAAAAACTCTTTAAAATTAAAACAAAAGTTGTATAATAAATACTTAAAAACAAAAATCTACAAAAATCTGTTTTAAAAACTCCGCAAAAATTGCTAATGTGGCACAAACATAACACCTCTGGAAATTAATGAAAGAAACTACAGGAAAGCAAAAAGTAATTTCAACCTCTCTTCCATT